CGGCGCTAACACGGCTTTTAAGCCCCCAGCGCTCTTTTGGAACCCTCCATATATCTGCAGACGTTTCTCCGACGACATCCAACCACAGTCTGGCGGGCGAGCGGTGGCACGTGAGTGATCACACAATCGCCAGCCAATCAGGATCGAGCTAGGGGGTGCGACGTCATCATCTGGCTCTGCCAATTGGCATCGAGGTAATCGGCGGCTTCGCTTTTCGCTTGACAAGTTTCCAGACCCCCCCTCCCCTGACGAGACAAAGTACATCTCATGTGAGTGTAAAAGTGAAAAATACACCGCACTTGAGCATGACTGTGTGTGGTACGTTACCTAGCAACTGCCTGACACAAAGGCGCCCCATGCTCAGTGCCCCTGGAATGCTTCCGCCTCGTGTATTATTTTTATACTTTTTTAAGCATCATTCTTCCACGGAACGCTTTAAATATTTAGGCAACTGTTCTCAGTGGCCATTTCTTACAGATAGTGCACAGATATGATCTCACAAGTGCTGCGACACTTCCCGTCTGGTTACACGCAGGTTGGTTGGTAGTGTTCCAGGACTACGCATTAGATTCTATCATTCATTCATTTCTTTGTATATTTTTTGCGTTCATGAACACCTTTAGCCTTTGTAATGATGCACAATATACATACTATAGCAAAAAATGAAATGATGATTCTAGAGATTACTAAGGAAAAATGCGAACATGATGAAAGATGGGTTTAAAAAAGTCAATACATAGAGCGTCCAGGGTATTATACTACAAGTTCTGAATGCGTTTCAAGGGACGAGGTTGGAAGATTCGATTGATGTAAAATGCAAGGGAAATTCGCAACAGTGCATGCTCAGAAGTCGTTCCACAGCCCAGCAGACAAAGATGGTGGCGCACAGAAGACGATTTCCGCAAAGGTCCATATTCAAAGGAAACTGTGCAGCTGACACCCTGATCATAAAAAAAATATAAAGGAATGCCTGTGCACATTTTCAATTGTCTCTTGGTGCCTGCGCCAAGATACGATGAGTGGTGCCAGTGTGCCAAAAGGGTACACCGGAGTTCTTTTTTGTGGTTCCCAATTTGCCTCGAGGTTGTCTAAATGCACATACAAACATAGATGAACTATAGTCCGTTGCAACCTAAGAACGAAGGGCGAGGGTAAGACGGGTCGGGGAGGAGGAAGCAGACGGAACACTAGAGAAGAGAGGGGAAAACCTCCCTCTCTTTTTAGCGTTCCGTCTGCTTCCTCCTCCCCGGCCCGTCTTACCCTCGCCCTTCGTTCTTAGATTGCAACAGACCATAGTAACCCAAATATTGGGCCAAAATAACCTCTTTTTACTTGCAAAGTTATCAATTTTGGTCGCCAGTGTTCTTTTTAGACTGAGTTGGTGCGTTGTGCTGTCGGATGGCGTGAATCTGGCAGATGGGAGCGGAAGTTAAAAAAAAAAGTAATAATATTAATAACAATAACAAGAATGAAAAATTATACAGGCTTGATCGTGCTGACAAGGACCGGGGAACTGCAATAAGATGAGCAGTTGGGCTAGTTGGTTGTCCATCATGAAGAAAATAGCGCAAAACAACAAGGAAGGAAGGACCAGCTACACAGGAAGGGCTAGTTGGCTATTCATCATGAATAAAATAATACCCTTCCTGTCTACCCCATCCTTCCTTCCTTGTTGTTTTGCGCTATTTTATTCATGAAGGACCGGGGAGAACAGAATCTGTCCCGGAGAAACCGTGATCCGTGTGTCGTTCGTGCAAGATTTTTCATTCTTTTTATTTTATCTATCCTATGCGAAGAGCAAGTCGTTTGGTTCTTGCGCAGGGGTTGCGGTGGCGTCAGAACGACGCCGAGTTCTGATTGGCTTTGATTGGAAGGATAGTGGTTAGACCTCAATGCTAGATGCCTCGAGGTCTACCCACAAATTTTTTTTCAATCAGCCAATTGGCGTTCTGACATCATCGCAACCCCTGTGCAAGAAGCCAACAAACTTGCCCCCCCCCCCCCCCCACACTCCGCATTACTATCTATACTAACCTAGTACCCCAATATTTTAGTTTACTTACTTTTACTTCATGGTCTATTATTTATTTTATTTCTTATTAATTTATTTTATATATTATTTACCTATTTTTATTCTGTTAACTCGTTCATTGTCTTCATTGCAAACCTGTCGCCATCGCCAGCGCTTTTGCGCCCTAATAAGAACATTGACTGATCCACATCAACTGCACTAGTAGCTCACATTCGACTGCCATTGATAGCATCGACCCGTGTTTGAGCCCCACCAGAGCTTGAACTTCATAAACTTTATACATAATCTTAGTGTTTGTGATGCTTTCCAGCGGGTCACTCCTCCACGACGCTTGCCCACGACTGTTTTCTCGTAGAAAACGTCGCACGACGTTTGTAATGCATATCGTGCGTTAGAAGCACGAGCGAATGTGAACGTCGCCATCGTCACGGCGCCCCAACTCCCGGCTGCCTAAGCGTTTGCGGACTGTCAATATTTAAAGAGCAACCGGCGACGGCACGACACTTGTACGACGTCCTAGGGCGGAAAATTGGGGGACCACTTTCTGGAACGCGACAAACACACCAATTCAAGGCACCACGGTAAAACTAATGTCTGCGCATGTAGAAGAGGAGACGGCATACCCAGCCTTGCCCGGCTCGAGGCCGACGTGCCGCGACTGCGCAAACATGTCAAACTCGTCGCCCGAGGGTTTGGCCGCCGGGTTTGAACCTGTGCTTGCAGTCACGCCCAGGGCTGTGGCAGAGGAGAGAAGGTATTTCAGTGACAGGGTGAGGGGTTTCATTTCACCACAACTGCAACCCTCGAGTTTCCCACACTTCTTACGGACCATTCCGGCCAAAATTTCTTAACTTTTCCAGATTACGTGACTGTTACGCTAAAACTTACGACACATTGAATTTTTGGGGGCTAGTCTCCAAAGGGGAGAACGTTTACGTAGGAATAAATTTGCTTCCGCTTGAAATAGAGCTCGACCGGCGACCTCTCGGCGACTGGTGGCAGCCGAAAAAATCGGCACGGTCCGGGATCACATTTCGGGACCTCTCCAAGACTGGCAAAGTGTTCTACCGTCTGAGCTAACCATGAGCTGGCAGCCAGTAGAGCAAGCAGATGTTAACGGCTGCCACCAGTATCAATCGCAACCACGGCAAGGATGACCTCGTAAGTGTCCTAGTGGATCTTATCAGCGGCCACCAGCCACCTGGAGGGTGCAAGTTGCGTTCCATTTCAGGTGGAACCCAATTTATTCTTTAAAACTCCCCAGCTAAGTGATCATAATTTTTCCAAAGATTTCCCAAACTGTAGAGCCAAAATTTTAACAGAATTAAAAGCCCAACATGTCTTTACACACCATAGTTATATAAACATCTAAACCCCAGAACAGCAAGCTTAAAGGAGTCAAAACATTGCACTTTTGGGACTCCATTTTTTTTATAAACCCTAAACAATGCCAACGGCATCACTAACGATGAAACACAACGAAGAATACATGAAGTTACTGTAAGTAATTGACATTACCACCTCACTGGTTTCGGTTTCGATAGCTGGAAGGGGGGAATGCTGTTGGGATTACATTACACATCAGAGAGTGCAACTCGGATGGCGATCACGAAGCACGAAAAGCTGTAGTGTGGAGGAGGCTCTGTCGTCTGCTCCCATTCTAGCATCTGGAGCGTGCATGTACTGTGCCATATTTTTTCCGAGCAGATGCGATCGCCCCCATGACTGTTTTTCCTGGTTTGCAATGTCATCCAGAGATCCCAGCTTGCAGTGGGCAAAACCGAAACCAATAATTCGATAACAAATTATTCACATTGCCCGGCGCATTCTATGCTGCGTACCATGATTAGTGATGCCACGGGCATTGCTCAAATCAAAAATTAATGCCAGCAAAATTTTTATCACTAATCTTTATAAAGAGGCATTTAATTGATGTGACTGATGAAGAGGTCTCGGTTGCAACGTGAGCCGACAGTCTCTCATGACACAAAGTACACGTGTCTCGACATTTCACTCCCCCAGTGAACATACAAGAGGTACCTGCATGAAAGTGTGTAAAGCGCACAATCCAAAGGCCAATTTCTGCAAGTTACGAACACTCATCTACTCATCGTCCTGACCTAACAATTTCACCAATAGTAAATACAGTGATGTGATTGGCCTAAGCCGTTTTGGAGCACCTTTTGGAGCAGCCAAAACAGTGTTTCGGAGCAGCAAAAGTGGCCTTTGGAGCAGCCAACACTGTGTTTTGGAGCAGCAAAAGTGGCCTTTGGAGCAGCCAAAACAGTGTTTCGGAGCAGAAAAAGTGGTTTTTGGTGCAGATTTTTTTTATAAAAAAAAAATATTTGTTTTAAGTGCTGGACAAAGGAAGGCACTTCGCTCGCCACAATAATCAAATTATGGTCAAGTTAGACGACCTGGGAGTCTTTCAAGTTGTTAACTGAAATGCCAATGACACAACATTTTTTTGCAATGCTTCAGTTAAATGACATATATATATGTACCCGCTATAGATAAATAAGAACCAAATTGCACACACTAAATTTATTTGAAAATGACCAGCTTAGCAGTAAATATGAAAGCATAAACTTCACTGGTTATATAATATAATAAATTGAAGCAGTATCCAACTGATGAAACACGTAACTACTGCAGTGCAATACGAAACTGTACACATGAAAAAGGTGCAGTGCGACTGGTGGGTGCTTTTCCTTTTGCTTGTTGAAACTTTCTGCAAGGCTGCTGCACGCCTCGCTTAGCTTTCGGCAAGTAATGAATGTCCACTTTCAATGTCTCCAAAGAGACGTTGAGACATCACACAAGTGTACAGTGCTGTAGGCGTTGCCGAGCAATTTCAAAACGTCTCCCACCGTTTTACTGGTTCCCGACATGCCAGATTTTCGTCAGAAGCAAGCAAATGTAAAGCAATGGATTGCAAGCGTCCCGGCTGGTACCTCTGTCGTGCAATCATGTTCGCATGCACGTGAGGGCAACTTCGGCAGCTTGCAGTTGCACGCGCTTCGTTATGCCAGCGGAAACGGCTGTTCGATCGAAACCGAAACTCTGCCACTCCGCTCCGTCGCCATCTGGTCCCCAAAATTGTATGCAAAATGTAACAATCCAGAATAAAAAAAAAAAAAAAAAGAAAAACAGTCCAGCGGCGCGTGCTTGCCAGGCCAGTATGCGAGGCACAAGCTAAGTTAAAAGGTTAAAAAGCACAAACAAAACAAGGACAATAAAGCTAATAAAAAAAAAAAAAGAACCTGAGCGCATCAATGCAAGACATCGCGAGTCAGAGTCAAAAAGTTCTTGGAGCGCTTTGTGCAACAACTGAACTCAAGATCAACAAGCGGGCTGTGCGGGTTCAGCGTGCAGGCATTGCTTTTTGTTGCTTTAGCTAACTTGTCTTAAACTTTCTTTTGCGACAGACTTTTCACGTACCGGTGTCCCTCTCAAAAGAAATCCGGCCGAGAGAAACCTAGGTAAACAGTACTTCGACATAACAGTCTTTGAGCTAAGGGATGTTTGTAATACCGTTTAATTTAAACAAGGACAAGATTGCTGATTACCCTGCAGCGGTCCTTACGTTTCATTTTAGAAAGCGCCATACCTGCAGCAATGTGTGGACGAGAACACCCGACGTCATAACCACGGCAACTGGTAGGCAGGGACCATAGATAGTTTTACCACGGCCGTTTCTTTCAGAAGCGAGTGCTTCATATCACAAGTAACTCCCAATGCGCAAAAACGTGGTTTCGTTTTACAACATGACGGCATGGCTGGTACGCTTGCATCTATCGTGAAAATATTTTCAAGAGGATGCGAGACGAGACCCACGAGAGCGCGAAAGGAGGAACGGCGGGAAAAACTATGCTAGACCGGATGGACGATTGATACAACCTACTTTCTGTCGGGCGGTTGCTTGCGCCACCTAGCTCACGCATGCTCAATTACTGTACTCAGTTTAGTTTCGGTTTTGAAAGGCGACCGAAATTGGTCCTTTGGCGCAGGCTTGGCGCAGATTACCCATATTTCGGCGAAATGTAGCAGGATGTAGCAGGGTTAGCCCCTTGGCACAGTTTGGCGCAATTGGCGCAGCAATCACATCACTGTAAATAGCGCTTAGAAATGCGGACAACCTGCAGCCTACACGCAGGTCCGACGGCAGATAAACAAACAACGCACATTCAGGCCGTTTGCAGAGACGCCAAAGTGAAACGCTCGACAACACTGGCAATTTTCTCCGAGGACGTTAAAGTGATGCTCTCACCAAGCTTCTGGAAGTCGTCGGTGACTTCCGGCTCGCCCAAGTCGATCAGCGGACCCACGTTGGCACCGGCACCCTTGCGGTCAACGAGAAGATGCAAAATCACCAACAGGAAGTCACAGTTCCTCTCGAAATTCCGCACTTCCTCCCCACCTCTACTCCATGTTCGGTTAAATATGCCGGCCTTGTGACTACGGTTAATTAAGGTGGCCTTTTTCTCGTCGTACTTCTGTCGCATGCTTCAGGACACCTGCTTTCCTGTTCCGTCGGTTCCTCGTTTGCCGCTTCTGCTGCGGACTTCTATAAAGATGTTTTCCGAGTCTCCTGGATGACGCACACATTCCCTGTGGTTGTCGACGGATTGAGAACTTGCACTTGAGGCAGATCCTAATGCCCCGCCTCCAGTGCAAGCTTCCTAACCTTCGATAACGCTTCGAGCACGCGAGCACAGCCTAAGGACGAAGGAGGGGAACGAGCACTTGCGGGAGTCTGGTCATCCAAAAGGGACGCCCTGCTGTTCTCCCGGCTGTCTGCAACTACAGAGGTTCGGGTACCTAATGCCCGCATCCGGTTTCTGTTTTACGTCCCGATAAACGCGCACATTTTGTTTAACACCGACAAGAGACGAGACCTAACCTGCAAGAAAAAAATTACAGGGGGATGCTTAAGCTTCATCTTTAAGAGTGGAACGCAATAGCTAAACATATAAACTTCCGCCCGTCCCCAAGCTGTGCAAGCGTGCCTGCGTGGCCCGGTCAGTAGCGTGTCTGGTTTGCAACCGAAGGCTTGTGGGTTCGAATCCCGCCTAAAATTTTCAAAATTCTTTCTTTAAGGCAAATTAGTTACTTTATCCAGTGAAATCATTTGAGACATGCGGCGACCTTTAATTCACATTACATGTCATTTTTCATTTGCTTTCATTCCACACTTGATGTCGCAATTAACGTGAGCGTTGTGGGTTGTTTCAAATTCCTGCGCAAGGTTGTGTGGCTGTGAGGTTATGACTCTATTGACCAATGAGGATTTTTTCGTCCCGTCGGCACCAGCTTTACTGTGATACGAGCTTATCGCTTTAAAATAAACCTAGAATTTGAAGGTATACAATCTCCAAAAAACATGCAACCCTAACTATGAGCCAGTGACTCGATGCCACTCGGTTCGCAGTAGTGTTTGTGACCAGGGTGGCCAGGTTGGGCTACAAATAGCGCAATTGGCCGACTTGTAGTTGGCAAGAAAATATGGTGGTCGGCTATTTGGCCGTTTTGGGGCTATTTCATACCCAAGATTCAAACAATTTCAAAGCGCTTGGTTTCGCAGCCTTTAACACAATATTTTTGAGCAAGGTAAAACACAAAGACCAACTCAAGAAGGTGGAAAGAAAACTATCCAAATCACAAGCTGTAAAATACATTTAGTTGGTCCTCAATGGTGTTGGTCGCGGAGACGCAATCAGTTCTATCTGAAGCACTACCCTCTAAAGTTTTTGGTCCATTTTAACTGCAGTGATTTACCCGTGCTATGCCACTGTTTCTAGAAACTAGTAATGCTTGGTCTTCTTTTTTGCATTTTGTAAATACAGGTGTTATGCCATGTATTATGCCATCGACATATCAAAGAAGTGTTTCAGATACCTTGTACGAAGTTTTAAATTTTGGGCTACACAATCTGACAAGAATTCAGCAGGTCAATCTGCGAGCCCTTGGCAACCCTGTACGCGACGCTATTGGAGGTGCCGACATACCTCGGTTGGCACTGGCACCGCTGGTCCTTCTTTCACCTGGCCGGTGACGATGGCAGTCCTGCGCTTCTCAAACCTCTCGTACCGCAGGAACAGGTTGTTGAGGTCGTCGTTCAGTCGCAGCAGCTCTCCTGGGAATCACCGAGCACCAAACATGGAAAGGCCGGAAAGGACGCACTGCCGCATCGCCTAGCTCGACGACCACTGCTTCCCAAGAATGTAAACAACAAGACGCAAAGACAGCGCAAAAAATTAAATGCATCTCAAACCTAGGGACAAAGTTGGGAGGCACAGGACGCCCGGCGTGTTCTGAGCTGTGCTGGACGCGTACCGCCGAGCGTGAACTATTTCGTTAGTTTCTTAATGTCTGCACGGTTTCTTTTGTTTTAAGCTTTTGAGCATGATTGAAGAGTTAGAGAAGACGAGAAGCAAGATTTCCTGCCTCGCCGAAAATGTTTCCCACAAGTTGTCCTTGGAAGTAGACCTACGACCTCACATTTTTTGGGGGTGGAAAGCTAGTTCGGTTTCCCCCTCCCCTAAACTGTGAGGCTTTTAAATGCAGCCAAATAAGTGCAAGGTGAGGAAATTGCAAGATTATTTGTGCTGCTGAAAGAAAAAGAAAAGTCTTTCAGCACACCGATGAAGACGCCACTCACCGGTCACCTCCTCGTTGGCCACTTTGTCTACGAGATCGACCACCCTCGTCTGCATCGCGTGACAAGTCTTCTGCAACTCCTGCACCGCACCCAGACAAAAGAAACAGGGTCAAGACACCACGAGGTAAACCTACGACTTGCGCCCTAGTAACGCAGCGAATTAAGTGTGACAACATTTCTGGATCCCGGTAAGAAAAGGGGAAATGAATAAATCAACGCGGTAAAGAACTTCTCAAAATGGCAACCAACATTTTGTGTTCTAGCTTGTGTTTCCCATGCACTTCTGAGCATTCCTAAAGCAAATCTATTATGCTCTTTAGCATTCTTGTTTTTTCTTTATGAAGGCAAAGACTGCGCCTGATGGTGCTGTCCGGGTAGTGCCCTATTTCATTGTGGCAAGCTCTCCTCAGCTCGCGGCTCTGGCTCAGCGAGATGGAGTCACACCGCAACACAGTAGTGATTATCGGCATTCATGAAATGCCCTCTCCCAAAAAGAAAAAGACCACGGAATAATATAATTTCTCATTTCTCGCCCCAAGACGGGAAACGTTGGGCCGAAACGCGCGTTGCGACCCAAAGCGGGCCACTTCCGTAAGAACGGGTCAGAGCAGGATCCCCCCCAGTGATATGCAAAGTGCTTCTTCAACAATCCAGAAACTACACAAGTCCCTTGTTTTAAGAACTAGCTATTATGCCATGAAAGTATAATCTATTCATGATAAGAACAATAATGATCCTCCTGAATAATTACAAAATGAAAGCTAATAGCTTACTTTTTGTGTAATATGTGTCACAAAGCTCACTTAATCTGACACAAACAAAAGAAATGAGAAAAAGAAACAACAAATTCAATAAGGCACACCCAGATTGCCCCCCCCCCCCTTCCCTCAACGAATAAAAAAAAAATTATTTCAAGGTTCGTTGCTCGGCTAGTTGGTTTACCTTAGCTAAGCATATAAAATAGTGCAAAAAAAACAGGGACACCAAGTAAACAGAACAAGCACTTTCCTGTTTACTTTGTGTCCTGGTCTTTTTCTTTTTTTGTGCTCTTTTATATGTTAAACCAAAAAAATGTCTCTTAATGCCACTGCTGTTGAAACTCAATCATTTTCCCAAGAGCTAGTGTCACAAATTCGAGCATTTCCAGGGCCCTCAAGTATGCCAGTTTCACCACCGAGGGCTCTGAAACGCGCTTTCGGGGACCCATCACCTGCAGCAGCTCCCAGTCGCTGTGCTGCTCCTGCCCCGGCACCAGCTCCGAGAGCATCTCCCCGAAGACGGTCATGTTGCGCTGCACCACCTCCAGCTCCCGCTTCAGCTTCTCCAGTTGCTCGGGACCCAGGGTGACGGGGCTCGGGGGCAGCGACCCCACCTGCACCATCCCGGCGGCCTGCTGTGGCAGGGGGCGCACGGGGCCCCCCGCCGGGGCCATCGCCACCCCACGCACGCCGGGCAGTGTCGACGGGGGCGCTGCGGTCAACGGCACACTCTGCAAACGGCAACGGGTTCCGCGAGTGAGCAACCGCGAAGCAGTCTTTTTACGGCGGCAGCTGTTAGTGGCCCGTTCCCCGGTTTCGCGAAGGCGTTAGCGTAAACCAAAGTTTTCCCGCTAAATTTGGCGGGAAAATTAATGTTGCGTGACCTGACGTCTTGGGACCTACAGACAGATTGAGGTTCTCCACTAAATCTAGCGAAAAAATTTACATCACATGACCTATGCACTAACTCAGTTTCCCTGCTAAATTTGGCGGGAAAACAGATCACGACCTTGTCGCCGCTGTCTAAATGCATCACATCGTCGAGCAATTTTAGTAACTTCAGGTAGCTCTTCGGAGTAGAAACTTTATGCTTGGAAAGCACAGAACGGATCAATTAAGCAACAAGTGATGTGTGGATGCGACAAGTGATGCGGCGCAACTGTGGTCGGGGACAAGCCCTGCGGCGAGAGACGGAGTCGACGGGTGGCTGCGAGACGGCTTTATGAACTCCGGCTAACGAGTGTCAAAACACGCGCTTCACGTTCGGACAAAGTCGAAGAGGGTAAGTGAGTAAAAAGTGATGTGAAAAAACTGACGGGGACGTATCTGATCACCGATGTCATGCTTGGGATCAGCGATGAGATACACGTGGTCGGCGACATAGGTGATCACCGAAGTGATGCACGTGATCAGTGATGCGACATGTGAGATCAGTAGGGTTCCGTGTTTCCTCAATTCGGATTTTTCTGAAAAACCCTGAATTTCGAGGTCACAATGGCAGAATAAAAAGCTATGAAAAGCAAAAAAAAACAGTGTTTTACGAACAAAATTTGCGAGAGCAGAGGGTCGGCGGTCCTGAGGAGTGACCATTTTAGTTTCTTTTGAAGTCTCGGACTATTGACAAAAAAAGTGTACTGTTTATCTCGTCAAGGTTCGTTCAGAACAACGGGTCATCATACTTCTGGGTCACGGCAAAAGCCACTGTTCAGGTTTCCAGTCTGGACCATACCATTTGCACTTCTTAGAGGGAAGAGCGGTTGGGTTTTTATGACACTGAAAGCTACAAACCAGTAGATATCATAGGAGGGGTCAGGGCAGCTGGAGCTTCTATGCTTCCCACCAAATATGTCCACCGGTGTTTAGTAATTTCAAAGAGTTGACGTTAATTGAAGCAATACTTTTTTTGAAGATTTTTCGTGGGACAGTTAGTACAGTAAAAACTTGTTAATTCGAATTGCATGGGGATGCAAAAGGAATTTGAATTAAACAAAATTCTAACTATCGAAAAAAACGAAAAAAAAAAGGCCGCTTCTGCAGAGGAAACGGTCGGAATGGCAGACCTTTATTATCTAAAGTAGTCAGTGATCATCATCTGCTTTTTTTCTTGGAAAGTTATGGTCATTAGCTTATTTTCAAGGGAACGCACCAAGCGCAAGGCATCTTCTTCGCCCTCTTCAAAGCTGAAGAAAAGACGCGCCACGTTCAATGCGTCCATGACCTCCGGCACGGATGGCCGAATCGGAGTTTCTTTTCCCCCCCCACTTCTTCCTCCTCGTCATCGACTTCGTTCTCCGCTTCCGCGACGGGTTCGCCAACTACTTGAGCGATGATGTCTTCGTCTGTCATAGCGCCACAGATCACCGCGCTACTGTCTGCATCGACGTAATCGGCAAAACTCACGTCCTGCAGCAGATCACACATGCCCTCAAAAACAACCTCACACTCTCCGGTGTCGCCGCCAGCCGCCTCCGTACCCAAGACACTAAAACCACAGTGACGGAAACAGTTCGCAATTTTTGCGGCGGTGACTTGGTCCCATGCGTGAACCAGCATGTGCATGGCAGTGAGGAGCGTCACGTTATAAGTCTGGTTCCCTTTGGCCGCACAAAGAACCATTCGTTCCAGCATGTGACGTCTGTAGAAGGACTTGATGTTCTTGATCACACCCTGGTCCATCGGCTGGAGTGCTGCAGTCGTGTTTGATGGAAGAAACACGAGTTTAATCGCCTTCAGCTCCACATCGACCTTGTGCGCTGAGCAGTTGTCTACGATAAGCAGAACCTGTCGGTTGCTCAATTCAAACTTTCTGTCGAGCTTCTTAAGCCACTTCTTAAACAACTCGCCAGTCATCCACGCCTTTCTGTTGGCTTCGTAGTCCGTTGGCAGTGTGCGAATGTTCTTGAAACACCGAGGCTTCATAGACTTCCCTATTACGAGCAGGGTTAACTTCTCTGTTCCAGTCATGTTTGCCACGACCAAGACGGTGACACGCTCTTTACTTCGCTCCCCTCCTGCGCAGTTCTCTCCTTTGTACGTGATCGTTTTGTCCGGCATGAGTTTAAAAAATAGAGCGGTCTCATCCGCGTTGAAAATGTCCCGCGGCGTGTAGCTCTCCAGGTAGCCCTGCAGGGATCCATTTCGCCACATTGCACAAGTTTCCATGCTCACGTCTTTACCTTCACCAGACACGATACGGAAGATGAGGTCGTGCCTCTGACAGAAGCGATGGAACCATCCCTCAAATGCGGCGAAGTCGTGGTATTTCAAATGTGGTGCGAACTCGGCTGCCTTCGCCATGATGATGGGGCTGCTGAGAGGAAGATCTTGGCTTCTCATCTTTTTAACCCACGTGATGAGCGTCTTCTCCAAATCCAGGTGTTTGGCAAAACGAGGTCTTTCTCTGCCATGGGAAAAAACTTCAGCTTCATAGGCATCCTCGATTGTTTTCCTGTTGCGGACGTATGTTGACAACGTACTCCTCGGGATCTCGTGCTTCTTGACAATCTCGACCTTGCTTGCTTTTCCTGCGTCTACTTCACGCAAAATCTCCACTTTATCTCTGGGCGTTTTTGCGTAATACTTTCCTTGGGCCAGTATACCCGGTGACAACATTGCGGTCTTAAAGCGCGTAGCACGTAGCCCGGTCGTACGGCCAGTATGGCCAACACCATCAGCTAAGTCACCAGCACAAATGGATCGGCGATCGCGCAACGGCTCAAACACAGTAGGCCCGGATCAACGAGGCACGGAAACAGAACCGCAGAACTGGTAATGCGGAGAACAAAGGGACGTGAAGGGCTTCGAAAAGCGCGAAAGAAACCACTCTGAGCGCCCCTATTGGTCTCTCGAACGCCTGGCGATGTTGTTCCAAATATCCATGTGTGCATCCCTATTGGCCTGCAGTGGATACTCGCGACACTCTCGTGTTTCCTGCAACGCGCCTGCCGCAGTTCAGAACGCGCGGCGACGCAGCTCCCACCGCGCCGCCTGTTGCTTGAGCGAAAAAGCTCCACGCATGGCAGCGCGCGGTTTGAATTATCGGTGCCGGGAACGATTCGAGCGTGAATTAACGGGCTGTTTTACACATGTACCTCTACGCAGCGTGACCCGACCATGGCGACTGGTTCCAATTATCCGAAAGTTTGAATTAATGAGTTGTGAATTAACGAGCTTTCACTGTAATGTCGATGGGAAGGGCGCCAATGCGAAATGCAGCCGTGTAAATATCATGTGATACAGGTGAGTTATGAATTAAGGGTATGTTTGTGTCCAGATATTCGTCACTTTTATTTTTAATTAAACAAATCAGAAACACAGTAAAATTAAACTCAGAATTTCAAAGAATTGGGAATCTGAACAAAATAAACTCCGATAAACTCCGAATTATCAGCAAAAAATAACTCCGAGAAACACCTCCAAATTTCGCAAAAGATACACTCCGAAAACACAGAATTGGTGATTAGTGATGTGATACATGGGGTAAGTGATATATGTGATCAGTGATGTGATGTCTGTGATCAGTGATATGATGCATAAGATAAAAGATGTGATGCATCTAATAAGTGATGTGATGTGAGTGTGGTCAGCGGCGTACTCAGCGGACAGCGACGGGATCGATGAGCAACCGCGAGTCCATTTCAACTTCGGCTAAAGTGCACTCCATGTTCGAAAAGCGTGGAAAAGGATAAGTGAGTAATAAGTGACGCACGTAGATGTAATAAGTGAGGCGATGCAAGAGTGATTAGTGGCCCGAATTTACAGCAAGCGATGGGACAATCGGCAACCGTGGGGCAATCTCTTCTAGTTTAGGCTAACAGCAGTCCAAGATGCAGACTTCACTTTCAGAAAGCATGTGGCAGGATAAGTAATAAGTGACATACATGTGACACGAGTGATAAGTGATGTGGTGCGAGTAAAAGGTGACATGATCTACAAGAGAAGTGATCTAAGTAACAAGTCACGTGATGAGATGGTAAGTAACAAGTGGATAAATATGTTGCGTGGAATTGATACGCTCCTTTCCTCCCCGTCAGTCACTTCTCCGAGCACGCGAATGCAATGCAATGAAGCTTACGTGCCGGTGCTGAACGGTGAAGCCAACCCTACCTTCTGGCACCGAGTTTTCTAAAGATTAACTCCGGCTAATGAATAAGCGCTCGCTCGGCAATTCATGTTATGTGAATAAATCTGATGCAGGGAGTTTAGGCAGAGGAAAGTTACCCCAAAGGGCATCCGATGTCTCAGTTGCAGATGGGAAATTCGACCAGCGCATACAACTGCTAGCGTGGGGTCTTTGACGCACATTGAGCACTTGCGATTATGTGAACACGAGCGGGTACGACGCTCATACAGGTCGCAACGGGCTCGAACCAATTATCCTGCACTGCTAACGCTTTCCGTTGTGAGAACTTTGACATGCCACATACTTGCCACCACACTCGACGATGGTGCCAAAAGATTGCCTGGCTTAGACGTTCCGCCAAACGTTACGAAGGTGCAATAGCGTTTGGTAGGGTTTTTTAACGAGCACCATTTTTTATTGGTATATAGGAGACACTGTTGTGGAATGGGCCCCCCCATTCCAATTCCATTCCGGGGAATTAGAGTTTTCAATAATTCAATTCCTTTCAATTCCTAGGAATGGAGACACTAAGACCATTCCCACTCCTGGAATGGCTTAATCGTTCCATTCCTTTAATTCATAAACGTAAAAATTGGCACTTGACAGCTACATTTTGTTGCCGGAATAAGCAGCATAAAGCTGACATTATCAAACGCAAAGACAATTGCAAAACAAAAAGCTAAATTCCTCAAAAAAGCACTGATTTTTACTAAGCGGACCGCTGGTGGCAGAAAATGTTTATTTACAATGTACTGCAAACATCGAGAAAGCCCCTTCATATGTCAATGCTTGTTTAAGACATCGGTCTCGCGACCACGTGGCTCGGAACAAACAGCAAAACTTAAATCCACTCATTTTCTTTTCTTTTTTTTAACTTTTTTGCATTTGAATTTTAAGACATAAGCAGCCACCGTGCTTGTTTGATAAGATCATAAAAATATCCAGTTCGTGCGTGGCACAGGAATAAGCTATATTACTGTATTCTTCAAATACAGCAACACGGCTAGTACACTGCTGGAAGCGACTCCATGCACAGCGGCAGAACACATCCTCTGACAAAATGCAACCTCTGCGGCGCAGCACCAGGGACCGTATATAAAGACCATGTCACGAAACCTGTTTTAAAATGCACAAGTACACGCTTGCTTTACGAATCTCGATATTTATTATCATATTTAATTCAATTTTTGGCTGGTTCGCCTCCCCTTTTCCACCCTTCGCATACTCATTCTCATGTTTCCTCTTCAGATGGCGAATAAAGTTTGATGATATACGCCGACTGCACCGTGTATAGTTTTGTTGCACAACTTTCAGCGTGCAGCTTGTTTATTTTCTTCGCGACTAATGTAGAAAAATGTCTTCTACGATGCCATGACTCAATCTGTATTTATCTTGTCTTCTCGTCCGAATTGTGATGTTCCTCTTTGCGCTGATCGAGTGGCGGGTTCAGGCAGCAGACGGTACCAACCGATTCATTCTTCTACCTCGCTGTCGGTTGTTCGCATAGTGGCGACGGGTCGGGAAGTCAGCGTTGACAAATCTCTTCACAGCAAGATACAATTAACGGGGTAATACCGCACCGTTCGAATTGACATTCCCCGTGTTTCCTCATCAACACCGTCCAACTGACTTCTCACCGCCTCAAATAGGGTCCAGGACAAGGAGCACGGAAGTCGAAACCTCAGTGGCAGCTAGCACCCAGCTCTCCTCAGTTGCTCTCACAGCAACGGTCGCGCTTCGTCTGGCACGGGAAGGTCTTTCTGCAGATCTAGTCAGTTTGGTCACACCAAGAGCGGTGGCGATAGTCTACTTCACCTTACGATGGACCTCAACAGACAGCACGAGAGACATCGAAACCAATCCAGTGCTTTCTGAGTGTCGCGTGACCCTGCAGTCCCGCTCACGGTGCTGGATTGCCTGGGGCACTCGTAGCGTCCGCAGCGGTCCATTGCAAGGTGAAACGAAGTATGCGGAGACTAAAGTCAAAGGAAATGAGCGGGAATCCGCTAGCTTGCTTGTAACCCCAACCCACTAAAACATATAACACAGAAAACAAGCATCGGAACAAAGACCAAGTAATAGGCGGACATACACTACAAATGCAGTACAAAAAAAACAAGCCTCGGAGCAAAGCGCAAGAGGAGAAGAGGGAAGTGAATCTCGATTTGGTTTAATGCCGAAGCAAACCCACATTTCGCACTTCAAAGGAGTGCGCACGAATGAACGTGGAAGGCAGCAGGGTTGGCTGCCTGCTAAACAACGCGCCTTGAACTATAAAAAAACAATACCTGATCATCTTTCGACGGCGCCCGAGTCAACGAGTTATCAAAGCTCTGCAAGTTATGAGTCGCTTCCACTCCCAGATCTCAGCCTGTGAGCGCGTGCTTTTTACAAACCGTCACAACAGCAACAAAAAAAAAGCATGACAAGAAGTACGATGAGGAGTTGTGCATGGCGGTTTCTTTCTTTGCCGCTCCCTTTTCTTTTGCTTGGGGCTTGGTTTTTTGTTTCGCTCTCGTGTAACACCATCAAAGCCCGACGCCTGCGCGTCCGTGAAAGGCGCCACGTTACTCCCCTTTCCCCCTTTGCTCTTTGCTTTGAAGCTTGTTTTTCGTATGGCATTTTTTGGCGTATAAGTCTGTTAGGGCTCCTCGCGGGCTAGCAGTTTCCCGCTCATTTTATTTCTGAACAACTGACTCACTGACTGGCTCGGTTTAGCTGACCGTAAACACACACAAAAAAAAAAAAAAAAAAAAAAAGAAATAAAAAAAAAAGAATAACCGTGCCCATTTCATTCCCGTTCCATTCCGGGCAAAAGGCACCTAATTCCATTCCCATTCCATTCCGCTCAATGTTGCCACCATTCCATTCCCATTCCATTCCGGGGTCGTGAAAATGCGGAATGATTCCGGAATCATTCCAACTCCGCAACACTGATAGGAGATGCATTTTCTCGATACGACTCGAAACTGCGACATCAATTTCCCCGCCAAATTTAGCGGGGGATATTAAAGTCACGTAACATTGTGATGTTATGCGATCAGACCAACGTGAGCAACAAAGGCCTTTCGCTTTAAAATGAGTGAGGCCCATGGCGCTTGACCTAAGCTACGGCCCTGCATGGTGCACATGGCGAGAGCGATACCGAAACGGTGTCAAGGCGAGGGCCGCTACTCACCCTCTGCGGGGTGTGAATGGGTGCCATGGTGTCCAGGTCGGTCATGGGAAACTCGACACCCTTGTTCTTGAGGTCGCTGTATACCTGGACCACCCCCTGCATCTCCGGATGGACGCGGAAAGCATCTGCCCAACTCTGCAGCAATAAATGAGAGAGTTTGCAGCTTTATTTTAATCCATCAATCAGACCTTCGCATGAAAAATTGTGTTTTGTGAGAGATGCAAGTGGCACAAAGAGTTCAATGCCTTCCTGGCTGCCTTCCTGGCAGGGGCCGCCACACTGCTCTGAAACGTCGGCTCTGCCTCCTTTTTTTACTTTTCTTTCTTGCGATGACATTGAGAGTGCGCACACTGCGGCGAGGCGTTGGGGCGACTTGCTAAGCGCAGACAAAGAGATACATGACCGCACTTGCAAGCCTCCCGCAATGCCTTCGGAAATTTTCGAAGACTGTTTGCCACTGAGCACAAACAAAAAGAATGCACGCGGCACCCAGCATTCCTTCTACAAAGCCTCGGGGAATCTTCCATGGCTGCTTGTTACTCAATGCTGAGCAAACTATTCATGGCTGCATTTGCATGCCTTCTGCAAGGCCTACAGGAACTTTCCAAGACGGTTTGCCACTGAGCACGGACAAAAAGGATACAGGTGGCACCTTGCTTGCCTTGTACAAGCACTTCAGGAGCCTTTGGTGACTGCTCAATGCTGAGCAAACGACACATGGCTGCACTTGCACGCCTTCTGCAAGGCATACAGGAATTTTCTGAAAGTGTTCGCCACCAAGTGCAGACAAAAAAAAGGATATGTGGTTGCATCTAGCAATGGCTGCACGTGTATGACTGCTGTGAGGCTTACAGGAACCTTACGAGACTGTTCGTCACTAAGCAAAGACAAAAGGAATATGTGCTTGCACCTTCCATGTTTTCTTCAAGGACTTGAAAAATCTTTCGTGACTGTTTGCTGCTCAGTGCAGAGCAAACAATACATGGCTGCACTTGTATGCCTTCTGCAAGGGCCTACAGGAACTCTTCGAGACTTTGCCACTGAACACAGACTAGAATAATATTTGATTGTACCTTGCACACCTTCTGTAATGCCTTCGGGAGCCTTTTGAGACTGATTGTAGCCAAAGGCAGTCAAAAAAAAAAAAAGAACACAAAGTTTTTGCGGCTGTGCTCGCTCACCTGTATAAGACTGAGGACCTTCTCCTGAACGGCGGTGGGGGGGTCATTCTTGGGGCCAATCATCTTGACCAGTTCCTGGACAAAGTCCTTCTGGGCCACCAGCAGGTGAAAGCGGCGGCCGCAATTCTTTACGCAAGTCTCCAGCACCTGCGTCGATGGTGAACACCAAATGTCAGACAGAACTAGAACCGGTAAAAGTGAGTAAACTGGAAGCAAACTGGGAAGGGAGGTAGCTTGTCAAAAAATTACAAATGTCCCACAAAACCTGCGCAGGAAAGCAGGAATCAAAGCCTTTTGACCAGGTTTTTATCTGCCATATTTTCTGGCTTATGTTGCGTTTAATCTTTTTTTTTTGTTACAGTATTTCTGTTTGAATGTCACATTTCTTTTTAGGTATGGACCTTAATTGTGCAAATTTGCATTAGAGGTTATATTTCTCGTTCCATTCACCGACGAGAATGTTGAAACTGACTCCCACCCATGCATACCATTGAGATCAGAATACACACATTCAGGCTTTTCAACGCAGTTTCACTGCGCCAACCGCACAAATCTATAAGTGCGGCTTATACAGAGGTGTTATAGACTGGAAAATACAATAAACCAAACCAACTCTTCAAGTAAACATGGGGAGCGATAGTCTCCAAAACACTGCACAGCTATTTTCATTCAATCCTTTTCTAAAGATGGCAATTTGTGTGGGAACATACTGGATTAAAAAGGAAAAAAGTGTGCTCAATTATTTATATTTTACTCGTTTCTCTCACACTGCTATTTGCCGTGTAACTGAAATTCTGGTTGCAAGTCAAGAGATTCTCCAGTGGTCTGAACTGATTACCAGTCCCTCATTGCGGCATGCGAGGTGTCCTTTGCTAGTTTGGCATATAAGACCCCCCAAAACTTAATGTAACAAAGTCTTCAAACAAAGCAGCATTCAAAAATTGGTGAAACTGCCATCCTCTACCAAACCGAAAAAAAAAAAAAAAGTTCTTTTTACTATTTTCCAACAATTAGGAAAGCTAAACAAAAAGAGTGGACGCTTTTCATTAGTAAAACAAAACAGAAACTAACAGCAAAAAAATATAAGTATTAAAAAATATATGAACAGGACACCATAAGCGGAACTTAAATTTTATACCGCCAAGCCATCATCTGTCCAGACTTCTAAAACACTGCAATGATCCAGATTTGTGCGCTCTGATTCATGCCGAGAAAAATGCCTAAACCATAGCAAGTCTGATATGAAAAAGTATAAATAGATAGCGAACTGCAAATGGATGGGAAATATGGACTTTCCTTGGTTCCTCGGAAAACACGTTTGAAATTATCTAGGGGACGTCCCTCACCGGAAGGCAGGTAAGCTCTGGGAATATCCTCGAGGAAACTTGTCTTGAAAATAAAGCTCTCGTCGTTAACGAGATATGTATGAGATAAGGATGAAGACACACTCGCAAACACTCCGACCTTGAAAGTAGACCAGACAACAAGATTCATTTGGCTCGCGATTAAACCACTTTGCTCGAATGCACAGACACAGAATTAAATTACTGCTTTGCTATAACCAGGAAATGAAGAAAGGAAGTTCCATTATGGTTAGAATCACATTTACAAGCGACATAGTAAATAGAGGATTTCCGTGATATATTCTTTCAATATCACGGCATCCTTGCACCCTCGAAAATTACGTAACAAGAAAGATTACTTCCAGAAGCACTCATTATCTAGCACCAGTAAACATGTGAAAAAAAAAAACCTATCCTCCTCATTCCGTCCAGTGAGGACAAAAAGATATACTGTAAAACCTTTTATTTTTGGCAGCCCCTATTTTTCGCGAATCAAACACAAAGGTCATAATCGCGGCCACTAAATTTTGTGAATTCCAGAGGCCTGCATTGAAACACTTAAGAGCTGAAATTTTTGCGTGCCCTTAAATTGCGCTAATTTTTCAATTCACGAAAATTAAGGGCTGGCAAACTTAAGGGGTTTTACAGTAAATCGTATCATCCTTAACTAACAATGAAAAAGTAACGAAATTACTTTGTGTGGTCAGCATAAAATATTATCTGAAATCTCACTGTAATCATGTGGAGCAATTTTTGCAGTCCAGGGGACACTGTTAACTCAACTGAAGCTCTACCAACCTAGAACTTCACTGAATACAGTATAAAAATCAACAAAGTGCAAATCCTGAACAGTTTGTTATAGCTCCAGAAGAAGAAAAAAAATTGAGTTTTGCATTCATCTACATTACGGTCAGAGCGATAGCTGCGAGACGTCTCGGCAAAGTCGCTGGGAGTTGACGTAACCGCGGAGTGTGTGAACAAGAGCGTTCTGAAGAAAATAGACGTCTGTTTTGTTCCATTTTGCTCCAAATGCCCTTCTTTCTTTCTTCCTTGTTCTCGAATCCGTGAAAGTGCGTCTCCCGGCACAAGCTCTTCGCATCGACAACTCTACAGTAACAATTTGTTATCTGCTATTTATTTTTTTTTCAGAGAGTGCATGGAGTGGGCATTGGGTACTAGAAGACTCCCAAGTTTAAAGTAGGTCGTTGATGCTGCTCAGTGGTAACGTCTCCGCTTCGCACACGGTGCACCCAGGTTCAGTTCTGTGGGCGGCAGGCAATCTTTTTTGAGGATTTGGCAACAATGGCGACGGATGACCTACACTGCCAACCACAACATCAACAGGCGTCGTTTCCAGTGGCGGGAAGAGACGGTAACAGCTATCGCTGCAAAACTATTTGAAGACACCACACTTGACTCCAAGACTAGGTCACCCGTTCGAGGTCGCAACTGCATTGCACCATCACTTGTCACTTCTTGTTCCCACTGCACGAGGTCGGAACCTAGCACCTACCTCACTACTTCCATCGTAATATTCACCACGCTCACTCTTCAACTCTTTATAAACCCCCCTCCCTGTCATAATACACCAAGGGGTCCAGCAGGATGACTGTATGACTTTGAGGGTAAGTAAATAACAAAAAAAAGTGTAAATAAAATATAAACAAAGTCCTCGTGAAGCAACCTTCAAGTGAGGTTTCACTTCACTGCGCCACAATATTTTCATGCTTGACATAATCTCGTTGCACTCTCGTTACAGTAATGCTACCTACGAGGATGGTCCAAAAATGATCCGGATTCCGGTTATCTTAAAATCTTCTGTTGGTCGCACCGTCTTGCCGGTGCTTTTTGGAATGAGGACGCCGTTGATCACGTTCGAACTTGCACAGCAGCTTGGTCACTGCTGTGCAGGCTCAAACGTGATAAGCCAGCCCAGTGCTGACTAAGGTGCGATACGCAATGGCCGCTCTACTTGCGATTCGCACAAGTGGGGGAAGCCATTGTTTTAGTAATCTGAGGGTGTGTTTAATGCCTGTATTTATGAAAGGCTTTGTGCACAGTATGAAGAAAGTGTTTTATCGCATAGAAGTGTGTTTGAGTGGCTACAGAAGTTCAAGGAAAGACGCACAAGTGACAGCCATAAAGGAGCCGGACGACCTACCACGTCCACGGCTGATGACAATGTTGAGCGTGCACGTGAACCAATCCTGTCCAATAGGTGATTGACAGTGGATGATGCAACAAATCATCTGCAAGTCAGCCAGGGCTTTGCCTATGCAATAATCCATGACAGGCATTGATTTGAAAAGGTTTTGATTAAAGTAACTTCTACAGCCAGAGTGCAGATAATTTTCGCATCGCCCCCGCCCCGCTACATCTGCGAATAAGGTGGAAAGGTCGGTACTGACGGTGAGGCTGTACATGACGACTGTGTAGTTCTTGCCGGCGTTCTGCGTCAGCCGTTTCCGCAGGGCCCTGATGGCGTCCTTTGGTCTGTGCATCCAATGTCCCGAGGCCAACGGGAAAACAAACGAAAACAAGGAGCAAACCACAATTAACAGTGCATTTCTTCATCTGAAAACGTAGCGAGATAAAACATGACCAACAACTCAATACTCAAGTGTCCCAGGTTCCAAAAAGTTTAATACATGTGCTAACTGTGGCCAGTGGCCAAACCTGCAGTGCTCACTCAAATGTGACTCTTTCATATCTCTTTTGTGCATCTAGTCTATGATGATTATGAAAGTTCTGTTGATCTAAGCACTTACATCCTCCACTCCAAACGGTTTGTATGATAAAGCATCAGGTAAATAAGGCAAAGTTAGATAGTGCAGAGTGTGTTAATTCACTTGGTTAAGCAGATATAAAATTTTACGAGCGCATTTTATTTATGGTCAGATGTAGGTCAACAGTAGCAGCAACTGTACCATTAGCACAATGTATACGAGGTTGTAAGACATTTTCTTGTTTATATATGCATTGCATTGCAAATATTGCAATATTTTATTCATATTGCATTCATATTACTGAATGGAACAAGCTTCCGTCACAGCTGGTAAACGAAGACTGCCCTGTTGCATTCTCAGTCGGCCTCCAGTCACTCGTCACTGATGACGCAAGTTCTTAGATTGGCTGGGATAAATTTTGTAACCCTGTATTTTACAACTAATGTTTCTTGGTCAATTTTTTTTTTGTGCGTATGCGTAATCGCATTAAGCCAATTGAAAGTCAATTGAAAGTCATAAAAAAATTGAACGAAATAAAAAATGGCCTTTTTGGAAAAGTGGGTTCAAAATATCAATCAATTTCATTTTCGACGATATTTCAAATTTTATATAAAAAATTCAGTGAAACTAAAATAGACTAAACTTATACCCTTCGATATTCCATGTATAGGGCTACACCCAAATAGTATTTGGTAAGCGACAAATATAATAACTCATGAGTTACAAGGCTCTGAAGTTGTCACCGCATTGTCACGTGGGAGCGATTTCGATCACTTCTAGAGAAGATAAAACAAAAAAGGGGGAAATCGCATCAAGCCAATTGAAAGTTAATATGATTGGCAGCAATAATAAAAAAAGCGAACGAAAAAAAAAGGCCTTTTTCGATAAGTGGGTTCAAAATATTGGTTAAGTTCATTCTTGACGATATTTCAAATTTCATAAAAAAAATTCAGTGAAAATGAAAGAAACTAAACTTATGCCTGTCGATAGCCTATGTATAGGGCTGCACCCGCATAGTATTTAATAAGTGACAAATATAATAACTCATGAGTTACAAGGCTCTGAAGATGTCACTGGATTGTCAAAGAGACAATGTTTGGCATTTTTTACGTCAATAAACAAAAATACAAAAGTATTTTCCTTTAAACTAAAAAATAGTCCAAATAGCATACAAAAGCACAAGAAATTACTGTGAGTTTTGTATGCTTCCCGTATTCGTACCTGCGTACAGAAGTAGGTAGAAAAATCACGGAGTAAAAACAGATTTTCACCCTGCTCCACTCAATAATTTTTTGTGAAGGGAAATATTTTTTTTTTTTTTAAATTTTGAAAAGCGGTTTTGTTCTTTCCAGAAATGGGGCAATTACATATATTAAAAAAATAAAAAAAAATAAAAACCCCCCCTTCCCCCCCCCCCCCCCCCTTCAAGCATGTTCGATTTCAAATGAAACCACCCAGCTGTCATTCGAAAAATGTGAAGTCTGGCATTGGGTGGTCCGAAACCCCATGAACAGAGCTCTGAAGAAATCATGTTTGCATTCCATTAAGTCCTTGCTACAACATCTTTTCGGCAGTTTTGGTGCGGCATGGCTATCCGGAAGATTATGTTTTTAAACAATTATTAACCTTGTTTCCTTCAAAAAGAACAGTCAGGGGGCTCCCAAACACACCAAACATGTAGTTCTTCCTTTTTTTTATTCTTAAACACCATGCCAATACCGTAAAAGTTGCCAACAGATTTGAAATTGTGGTCGTTATAAGCCAAACCTATTGACCTCGTTTGTTTCCGCAAAGGCTTCATGTACAAAACACCAATGTCAATTATGTGTCGGGTGTGGTCTACAGAATTCCTTTTTGATTGTGGCCTCTGTTACATAGGGCAAACCAAGCGTTGCCTCAATGACCGTTCAACCGAACACAAACGTTGCTTTACAAAGACCCCTATTCAAAACTGTCAAAACATGTTATTGAGTGCAACAATTGTGTACCGCTTTGGCAGTCCACCCCAGTTATCTTAACAAAGAAAGATGATCACAAAAGGTTAGTGAAAGAGTCTCTCACGGTCATAAATCATGGTAGTGCAGTAAATACTTCATCCCTTACTTTAGATGCAGAGTTGAGAAGATTTCTACAAATCTGATCGTTTGGTTTTGTTTTCGAGCAAGGTCACCCCTTCAACCTAAGTGTGGGCATGTTCCTTTGTTGGCCCTAGCCGTCTATCTTGTTGTGCCCTTTCTTTGGTTTTGTGTTTGTTCGGGTGTTTAAATGTTCGAGGATTTCGCCCATGGTCCTGTTGTTTGTTCTGGGAAAGGGTTGATCTAATTTTCTTGGTGTGTTTTATCCGGATGTTTAGGTGAAACGATAAAGGTTTAACCCAACTTCTTTTGTTACTTGTTTCGGCTATGTGTCAAGTCCTGTGCAAGTTGTCTTTTGAGTTCAATCCTTTTTATGCATTTGTGTAAAGAGTGTTCTCACTTTCTTTCTCTTTTGTTTTGGTTTGTAAAAGCACCGAAAACCTATACAGTTGAATCTTGTTAATTCAAACCCTCTTAATTCAAACTTGCAGATAGTTCAAACTAACATGCAGGTCCCATCCTATGATTCTCTACGGGAGGAAACTCCTGATAATTCAAACTCTGCTTTATTCAAGCAAATCTTCGGTCCCCTGAGTTCAAATTAACGAGATTCGACTGTATAAACACAAACTCCTGTAAAAGCAAATTCAGCTGTGTTTGAGACTTTGTGTGTTGTGTTGACCTTCGTTTTTTCCCCAGTCTCGAGGTTTTGTCTTAAATTATGTTAAACCTTCACCAGCTTGTTTGTGCCCTAACCTTTTGTTCGTTGCTATGCATCTAATCTTCGACAGGTCAGGGTTTACGTGCAGTGGTAGTACAGGCGGAAAAACTCTGCTCGTGAAAAGTTATTCTAAACATACCCATAACAAAGCATCAGCTCGGTCTAAAGTTAGGCAGACACAGTTTCCGCGAATGAGCACAGAAAAAGAAAGTAGTGCAAGTGCACGGCACACAAGCACACAAGAAACTGTGGAGCTCTTCAAAATGCAGACTGGAGCAAAGCTGTCAGATCAACTCAGTTGTAGAACTTTGCCTTGGAATGGCTTTGACCTTAACCTCAACATCAATCACCTGTCTCACTCTCGATATGACAAAGAGCTTTCGAAAAATTTTAGAGTGCTGTTTCTGACAACATATTTTTAGAACTTGTTTATTTTATTATTAAAATGTTTCCAGCATGTTTTTGTAGGCACGAGACAAAAGTCCAGATGCTTGCTCGCTTTTGCAGCAGATGGCAAAAACTACAGCATCCCTGAGCGCGCGATACATCTACGGTAGACTCAGTGAGTCACCCCTGGCGTCTAAGAAGATTAGTTTTACCGCATTTCTGAAGTGAAACTTTCGACAACTACTTATGGTAGTTGTCTAAAATGCATACTAGCAGACGAAAATAACCTAGCAAACCGGCTTGGCCATATCTACAGGAAATTGGGCATGGCTATGGACCAACAACGTAGAGGGGCTTAGAGCGATTAACTGGTATTTCGTTCACCAGGCAATTGTACACTTGGCTACTGCCATGTTGTACAATTGTGACCACTAGTCACGTGACTGTACCAAATACTGAGGCTTTTATGCAAAACTGAGCCGAGATTTGTATTGCGATCGCTGTAAAAAACATAAACTATTTTTTTCAATACTGCTAGCCCCAGAAATCAGTGTCTAGCTCCGATAAAAACCCAAAATACAGCACCGCGGCTGACGGCATCTAGCGGAGGCACTGCGAAGCTGCCCGAGTTTTTGCTGAAAGAGCACATCTTGGACTTAAAACTAACGAAACATAACGTATCTCGTTGGTACTGCTATTAAAGATCAATAAGCAATTATTTGTGGGCGGTACTTTGTTAAAATCTAGACGTAAAACTAAAAGGTCATGCGTCTAGTGGTAAAACATTTGCAACATGGCAACGGCCCATTGGGTGTCACTTTCAGCTGCCACTTTATTGCTCTAAGGCCCTCTACCTCGTTGTTATGGACGCACACTACGCTCACATAAGCGAGCGAGCGTTTGTGTGCATGGCCAGGCATTCAGCATCATGATAGAAATATTGCCAATACGGTGGCAATGATAGCACTAGCAAACAGCAAAAAAGAAAAGAAAGAAAATTGTGCATGACAATACATCACAGTTGGAACACCATCGAGAACACCACCACTTCAATTTCTCTTTTACGTCCCTTCAAGGCTAACTTGCAAGACTTTCAGGGAATTTCAGTGAAACACGAGGGAACATACAATTCCCTAAAACGCTGTTCGTAATTTGCGTGAACTTTGGGATTAGCCAAGGCTTCGGAATGTCTCGGGCACTCCTGTCCGTTTATTCCATTTCTGAAATCGCTAGCATAGTAACGTTTCGTAAGAACGACACATTACCCTAATTCCTCAGCTCCTAGTGTTCGAAAGACAGTCTTTTCTCAGGCGTTGTCCAGCTTTGCTTACCTTGAACTGCGTGCAATACTACTATTTGCGATTTCATAAATGGCCAACGGCATGCAATACTCTATTTGCAATTTCGTAAACTAAAAATAGTATGCATTAGTATTTGTAATTTCGTAACTTGAAAATAGTGTGCTGTACTATTTGCCATTTCATGAATTGAACATAGTATGGAATACTATTCAAACTTTCGAAAATTGAAAATAGTATACAACACTATTTGCAATTCTGTAAATTGCAAATAGGTGGGTAGTATAGTTGGGAGGCATGAAGCCCATATCCTACATTCTCGGTTTACCCGCCATGTTCGTCGGCAGATGACGGCGTCGGATGCCGAGGGAAGGACGAAAAGCAAAACGGGTCGAGCGCTGGGAAAGGCAGGCAGATTATGAACACGACCCCAATAATTTACATAGCCCCGTATCGTCGACCGACAAAGGCCTCGCCCCCCTTTCCCTCGTACGCTCTTCGCTACTAACGAAAAAAACGCTCGTATTCCTTGTTTCGGTCACAAATAATGAACAAATGAAGCACACCGTGTACCCTATCACATTACTTGTGCGTCGGTTAATTCTCCGAGAAGACTGCACATTCAAATGAAGCCATCACGAGACACTACAACGCCAATTAAAAGCGAGAGCAGACGAAAGCTACAAAACAAATTTTGTACTGTGAAAAAAATTACATAGAGGCATGTTTTGTACTTAGCACATTGTTGTCCTCTCGGACTGACTGTGGCTTCCCTTTAATTATTTGAGATTGGATTACCGCACGTGGGCCTTAGCAATTTTTTTATGGTAATTCACAGAATGAAAACAAGTGAAACAAATGTGGAGAGAAGTGCTCACCCCTCATCAGTGTCGTTGACAATGTCGCAGATCTCCATGTTGAGAGCCCAGTTTTCAGAGGCCAGGGAAGCATCTGTTGCTTGCTCTGCAAAAGAAGGTTAATGTTGGGAACACCAAACATTAATGGCGCACCAGGAGGAACAGCAGAAAGTGTTTCCCGACAATTGAACATGTTAAGTGGCAGACACACAGCTCGGCTGCATGGGGGATGAAAGCTAGTGCTGCAGATTTTGGACATCGCGAGTACAATTTTCACTTCTGCTTATTTCGGAACAGATAAGGCAGACATCTCGGCTAACATTTCCTTTAGAATAAGAAACATAAAAGTTGGTGAGACAAATCCCCACCCCCCCCTCTCAAAACATGTCATGGTGCAAATTACACAAAAACACAGCCACCAAATAAATGCCTACCTATTTGCGCAGTCATACCATTTACGGTATTCGTTAAAAAGCATAGGCAAGTAACCCGAACTGTAATATCGGCTAATCAGTGGAAAACAAAAGTAGGCAATACCAGAAATGTAAAGAAACATTTGGCACATCAATTAGTTCAATTTTTGGCATCTTGTAGATTGCAGCTGCTGGGCTCATGTAAACAGACACCAGTAATGATGAATCAGCCATCGTTAACGGCTCATCGCCATTAGACTCAACACAAGGCAGCTTAGTTTAGCACTCCGGAGTTTCTTAGCAAACTGTTGGCAACTTCTCCGACGCTTTCAAGAGGCTCCTGCTCCAATTGTCAATGGCACACACAAAAGAAGACGCAGAGAGCTCAAGGTGTCAAGCTTGTTGCAATTTCAACACTGCTGCGACACCTAATGCTTGCACTGGTAGCTCCTGCATAAAAGGAAGGGTACTTATGGACGAGGAGCATGTTGGTGCTGGTCAGGATTAAAGAAAGAATAAATACGTAGGACAAAGACAACACAACCACGTTTTTCAGTGAAGGTGTGCAAGTGGAATCTACACTTTTGCTCGCTTATAAAAAAAACATTAATTCGTTTCATTACCCAACATTATCACAAGCTTGATGGGCCAGAAGTGTAAAATTGCAGCATTGATAGCGATAACCGGCATTTATCTTGCTAAAGAAGCAAATACTTAACGACTACGTCGAACCCCGTCGAGAACTGACACGAGAAAAGTGGGAGCCCTAGCCATGAAGGAATCCTGATAACAGCACAGCTAGTGGGTGTTCAAAATCGACCAGCAGGTGAAGCGGGAGCTAGAAATGAAGCGAGCATCACGAGAAAACCAGAAATGCAAACGCGGGGGTCAAAGAGCACAAACCACGTGCGGACTGTAATCTTCCTGCCTCAACAACCAGGAAGTGCACATTGCCGGTCCTCAGCCTACATTGACCAATGATTGATCACATCATTTGAAATGGCGTAGCTGACTTGAGTGAGGAGTGTGTTCTGGTAACACACAAATTTAAAGGAATGAGTTCCTTCACATTCAGTCTACACTAAGATATTCATTTATGCCTATTAGGTTCTTTTCTATTAATTTACCAGGTCATTGTGGGTCTCAATCCACAATGACCAATCACTGATGGCATGATGTGCAATGGCACAGTGTAATGATTAAAATAAAAACTGACATCAGTTCGAAAGAGAGCACACAGGCAATATACATAATGAATCTGAATAAATGCATAGTCCCTTTACATTCAGACTACAGTAAGCTATTAAGTTTATATTCCGACATAAATCAGCATCATATTAACTAATAGAGAGAAACGGTACAGGCAGAAAAGGCATATTGTAGTGAGTGCGCAGGCGAGCTGGTGGAAATTAACCATTCTGATGTTAGCCTGAGACTGAGGCAGGAAAATAGGAAGTTTCAAAGTAGAAGAAAAAGGAACAGTCGAGGATACGTCTCTGAGACGTATCCTCGACTGTTCCTTTTTCTTCTACTTTGAAACTTCCTATTTTCTTGCCTCAGTCTCAGGCTAACACCAGAACAGAAAAGGCACTATAGAAAGGTTGGTTTCCAAGCAATGTTAGCGGCACCCTTCACACATAGCAAGTCATAGCAAGTACCGAACATATAGCTGTTGAAATAGAAACGTTGCCTGACACATCCGATCATAGCAGATGGCTATGAGCCATTCGCACCCCACGCTATATAGCACTTCCGTTTCACACAGACAAAGTATAAAAAGAGAAAAAAGAAAAAGCCAGAGAGTGAAAGTTATTTGACTCACTCGGTCGCAATAAACACCCCAAGACTCATCTTCACAACACTAGTCTGGGAGACTACCAGCTTGCAGACTATATTTGCTCGCTTTTTAATCTCCTCCACAACCTTAAATGACGAGGTACAACTTTGGTTTTCTGCAGGGAAGGTAATCCTCTTTGCGTTCCCCACTCCTAAGCTGCGAGGGGAGCCAAGTTGCAGCAAGGTAAAAAGTGGAGAGGATAGAGGAAAGGAGGAGGTGAGTAAGAGTGGAAAGCGCTAAGTGTACATCGGCCTTTAAGACTAAAAAAAAAAAACGAGTTTGCATTGACTTTGCGCAAGAAGTGCCTGTAAGTAGAGCTTTGCCAAACCGGCTTCATTTGAAATGTCCAAATATAGAAGTTGGCGATGAGCTCATACACACAAGAGCTACCGCCGAAGGGGCATTGTTTGGCACGCGAAGAGGGCTCACTGTCCTATCAACTGATTGTCATATTTTTAGCACAGCCCTTGCGTTGTCCGTTTTACTGTTGGCGGTCCCTCCTACGCGACCGCACGGTAGGTGGGAAACCGTAAAGTAGGTGTACCGTACGGTGCGTTAACCTTACCGTAACGCACTACGTGCAACGTAAAACACAGTACAATTCACTCATGTCACAAAGTAAAGGAAACAAGAATTTAATATGTATTTCCCTGAGGAAACAGACGGACGTCAATCATAAGCTGCTGTTGTGTTTAGGGAGAGAAAAAATAATAATAAAAATAGCGTACGGTACCGGTATCGCATCGTACCGGTACTGCAACGCGAATCCCCGTTACGCAATCAACTCCCGTACATCCGACAGAAGCAGAAAGAGAAAAGCGACGATTCGTCCGTCTCCCTGTGCACAACTGCGAACGTGACGCGAGATAACCTCTAGAGTAACTTGGTTTGTCTTCTGACGCGTACGAGAGGTGAGGCGACATTTTGATCGGTGATAAACAAGAGAGCGAGTCACTTTTTCGGCGTGAAGCGCGCGGGTGTGATATCGAAGGTGCGGTAAACGATGTCGCCAAAAGAAAACAATTAATTGTTACAAGGCGTCTGCGCTTTGCGTCTACAACGGGTGAAGACCATCGGGTTTCGAATGTTGTAAGGAAATATTTGGCGGTGTGCAGTCAGGACGAAAACGTCGCGTTCAAGCGAAATGTTTTGCCAAGAAAACAGCTGACCATGACGCCGAAATTATTTAGGGAGTGATCATCGTCGGTGTGGTCTTCCGCCCGGTCTTTTCGCGGCTCGCTCACCTATTTTTTGGCCCACCACGGTGTTGAAAGGGTTGCCCCCGAGCTGCGCTAAGAGGGCTGACATCTTGATCACCTCCGTGATTTACCGAACGATTGTGGCTGGAATCAAAACAGCTTATCACATCGGAGTCACGGCCATAAGCGACACACACACAAGCACACAACAGTTTGCTCGTCAATGGCGAAGCCTCGTTCGACTAGTTTCGTATAAGGTGTTACGGTGATTTAGTCAAGAAGTGACCAATGTTTCTAGTAAAAAACAAATATTGAACAAACATTTCTTACGTGTTATTTTTTACATGCAAAAAGGCTGGATTAATTAAGGCATATTTAGAAAACGGTACAAAGACACTGCGGGTTTTACTTGTTAAAGTTCCCTCTAGATGTCGTTAAGGTGCCGTGAGACACTAAGTTTCGGTTTCGTTTCACAAGGAAAAATATTTGTTCGTTTCGTGAGAACTTTGGCTAGGCGTTGTGGCGGCTGTTAGAAGTACTATTTTCTGAAACAACTATAGAGAAAAAAGAAAAATAGAGTATGTGTATGAGAGAAAGATAAAAAATAAGCGATGTCGTAGAAAAAAAATAGACGGGTAGATTATTTTTCAAATGGAATGCTCATAGGCTAGTTAGTACATACACCAAGTTTCGCGATTTTTAGAGCTCTAGTATTTGCAATAATTAATTTACTAATTTTGATAATTTTCATCTGGTGACCAGGCAACACTGGCCAAGCCAGGAAAGAAAATCAAGATCACATTTGGCACATTAAAAGCAGAAATATTCACTCACAATCGAAAGGATATCATTAATTTAAGTGATGTGCAATTGCTAGAAGCTTCTAAGCGAGTTGAGAATAAAGTATCCAAGCAAGCAGAGAAAGATTGGACGTACGAGGATTTAGTTAGCACTTTCGAGAGGGAATTGGAGAGATACCAAGTTAAAGGGCCACGGAAAAGAAAAACAAACAACAATGTATTTTCAAAAGTCTGGTTGTGTGTTAAAAAATAAATTTTACACGAAAAAAAAAATTGAGCACTTTTGACGGCGCGAGACTCGATTTAGTCGTCACCTCCTTTCCACTTGCTTTCTCTCGACATTTCGGGCGCGTTGAGGAGAGGTGGATCGGTTTGGCCATCACGTCGAGGTGGAGAGAGTGTATGACCGTATGACCATCTCGTTGAGGTGGAAAGAGTGTATGACCATTCCATGACGTCATGAACTTTGCACCCAGAATTTAAAATAAATCTCGCGTCGTAAATATTGCTCTAGTTTTTTTTCGCGTAATATTCTATTTTTAATGACGCGTGTCCCACCCACACTGTTAAAAAAAATTTTTTTTTCAAGAAGGTTAAAACGCAAACCGTATAAAGTTGGTGGGATATTAAGGCAGCCATAACGTGACGCCAAGAGACGTCTAGAGCACACAGATGAGCAGAGAAAAGGGAGGCCGCACAAGCAGACATAGGCGTAGACTACGGGGGGCCACCGGGACTCGTGCCCCCCCTGGTGACATCTGGGGGGGGGGGGGGGGGGGGGTGCAGAGCCCCCCCCCCGGCCCGGGCCATGATCCTTACCGAGACGCTGTTTACGTGCCATGTAACGAGCTTCTAGTAGTGGCATGTAAACAAAATAACGCCCACGTTGCCTTTATTGACAAAATACATGGGAACTTGAATCCCAGCGTGCTTTAGTTAGCTTCAATCTCCAGTTTTGGCGAGAAGGGGACGAAATAACCCCTCCTCCTGCTCCTTCTCCCCTCTCTCTCCCCCCCCCCCCCCCCCACGGCCGCCCCGCCCCGCCCCCCCCCCCCCCCCCCCCCCCCCCCCCCCGGGGAGAACCTTGGGAAAATGGAAAGTCTACGCCGCTGCAAGCAGAAGTAGCGTCCAGATGGGGGATTTTCAGTAAAGAAAGAGGGAGGCATCAGCATTAATCCAGGCCGAAATTGGGAAGGCAGGAACAGAAGCGGAACCAGAGGAGCACACAAAAAAAGACCCCAGGTTGAAAAAAAAAAAAAAAAAAAAGGAAGGGTAGGGCGTACGGAGGGGGAAGACTAGCTGCACACCTGATTGCGTGTTGGACCTTTGTTCAAACGCACGCATAAATAGTAGAGAGAGGTCTTTCCTTCTCAGCGACACGAAGTGTCGCAATTCAAGACATGATTGCGACACCTCCCACTTCGTAGCAGGGGATAACGGAATCTTGGTTTAACTCTCTGCCCACTTCGCACGACCTAAGACTATGGTCTAATGTTTTCAGTAAATTCCGGGCCGGTTTTGTCAAAATCGGTCCTTAAATAAGAAAAACCCAGCCTTTGCGCGAAGATCTTCATCTAGTTTTATTGTGGCACAAAACATTGCCTCCAAATACAGACTTGTAGTAGATCAACTACTCTACTCAAATTACTGTAGTTTAACTCCTTTTTTGAGTAGCTTCGTAACTTTCAATTATATTTTTATTGCGGTAATTAGTAGTTTACTTTATTAATTTTCCCGAGTAACTACTACTCGAATTACAAACTGAATTTTAGTGGTTGTTTTGCCTATAAACAAACATTCTAGCACAAAAAGGTACAAGATGTTGGAAGATCAGCTGATATTTGCAAAGAGGGCGAAGCATGTGGCGTAGAAAGGTGGGGGAAGAAAGTAATTGGGAGAGTCCGAAACCGCCACAAAAGTTTCACGAGCCCCCCCACTGCACCAACCCTGCTACGAGGCGCGGGGAGCGAACAGACACGACGCATGAGAGGCCGAGCAACTGTGGGATTCGCGCCGAAGACTGGCGTTTCTTTCTGTCCCGAAGCTCAAGAAGACTTGAGGCATTTCAAGAAAGAGCTTGTCCTCGCTTCTCTCCAGCGTAGGAACTCTCACCCACTACTGGAGGTGTACACACTGCATCCTCACTCAAAAGAGGCAACAAAATGCAGCACCCGCTCTGAAGCTCCTGTGGTGCTCCCGTAGTTTGTGCTATACTCGAAGAATCGTATGGTAAAGGGCAACGCGAAGGTGACATGTTTGTGTTGCCCTTCCTGCCAAAACTCAAAATATGCAGACCTTCAAAGATTTGAAGATCGTTAGTAATTCCCTCAACGTTTTTTTATATAAAAGGCAGGACTGGGTGAACTAAGAACGGTTAGTGAGAGGGTTCATGTGGAGATGTGCACTAACCCACGTGTCTGGGGACAGTCTCTTTACATAGAGAGGTGGGTGATCGATGCTAACCGAGTGATTAAGGGGATGAGCCGACAACGTCAGTGTGGCGTGAAAGAGAGAAACTGGGATGTTTATGCGGCTGGCTCCTGCCCTTTTACACGGGGGTGGAATCTACCACAGTCGGAACACAGACAGGAGAATGGGAGAGGGGCTGGGTCGTCATGTTGCAGCTTTTTTGGGGACCCGCAGAGCCCGAAGGGCACCGGTGTAGATATACCAGTATACCATATTTATAGGGTTGTTCGTTTTCGGGTAAAACCCGATTTTACCCGATTTTTACACCCCGAGCATGTTTCAGGAGAATCGGGTTAAACCCGATTTCTCCTCGAATTCCAAAACCAGATAACCAAGCCAACCTATTTATTTTTACGCCGCACGAAGTCTGCGGTGCACACACGCTACCTACCCTACATCGGGACAACAGTGACCTATAGTTCATTTCGCAAGCTGCGTGCAGCACTGTGGACGCTACACGACTCTCAACCAACCGCCCAACGGGCGCGCCTAACTCACCGTGACATTCTACGGAGGCCGGCTGAGGAAATGGGGCCTCGGAGACACATTTCCGTCCCCCCGCTGTGGAGCCAGAACCACCTCGGCAAGCCACGTAGCTTCGGCCCTGCTGCACGCAGCTTGTGAAATGCACTATCAATCCCCCATCGACAGCTGAGGTGTCGACACCCAGCAGGGTCTCTCAGGTAGCATGGGCATCTCGCAGGCGTCTAACCTTTCTTACGAACAACGTCCGAGCCAGTCAGTCGCGTAAACAGATCGGGAAAACTTAACAGGTTTAGTCCATAGTGAAATATCTGATCGAAGACGACTGCCCCTGGAACGGTTGGGGATTTCGTTGACACCTGAGGGAGAGGAGGATTCCGCGTGTGGTGCTTCCTTTGAAGCGACCGACGGCAATCGGAGCTGGAAAACCCTGATGTCCCCCCGATTACCAGCATGAAACAGACCCCTAATTTTAACGCGTTAGCGTTAAGAAGATCGTATTACGCTCTACAAAAAAACAAAAAAAAAAGAGGAAAAAAAAATACAGAAAAACGAACGTTTTATTGAGTGCATTTGTTACTTTAACCCCCCCCCCCCCCCCCCCCCCCCAAAAAAAAAAAAAAAAAAACGAATTTCAGAATGTGTCCACAAAAAACCCGATTTTTCCCCGATTATCAGCTTGAAAAATAGCACCCAATTTTTACCCCGCGAATTCAAAAAAAAAAAAAAATATATATATATATATATAAAACCCGAAAACGAACAGCGGTACCAGAGTCGGGAGAAGCACCTAAGTGTGAGCACCGCAGGAGCAGCAGGGAAAGCTGGAGGAAGCCTAGAAATAAGAGAACGAATCGGCTTAATATATGGGGTTCATAGACATACAGGGGGGTAGAAACAGACTAAAGTGGGTGGAGATTGGTGAACAATTAGAGGCTGAAAGTTTCACACTGTATGGGGTAGCAGAAACTTACATTAGGGATGAGGAGGAACTACCGTACATACCAAGCTACTCCTGGATGGGATACAACCGGAGGGGAGGTGAACGCAAAGGCGGAGGTCTAGGCATGCCACAAGACTGGGAAAGAGGGGAAAAACGGCAGAGAAAACTTATGGCTAAAAGGTCTGAAGTATGTATCTACATTCTGTGCAAGGTGTGGTGTATTTACAAGAAAAACGGGTTACAGAAATCAGCCCGGTTAGAACACGGCTGCATGCTGTCGCTCGGGTAGGCAGTCAGTCATTTCACGCGATCGTCTCGCGCGCACGCTGGACGTCAAGGCACGAGCACTGCCACCGATATAACATTTCCCCCGGCGTAATTGAAGAAACCAAAGGAAAACACACACTGCACACAATGCCGAAAACGTTATGCGTCGTATCTGTCTGGAGGACGACGATGTCTTGTGGGGTAGCGCTGTTGCACAGCGGGATTGTCGGTTGCCCTCTGTGGGGTGGT